CCGAGATAAGTGACTATCACAAGGAGAGGAGGGATTTGAGAACCCCCCCCTCTCCCGAGAGGGGACCGGCAAATGGTCGGACCTGAGGGAGGGTAAGATGAATGCCGCTGGCGATGCCTTGCCCTCCCTCAAGTATGGTCTAGGACGGCTACCGGCGGGGTTTTAGTGGGTATACCCAGGGATATTTTCTTCCCTGGGGGACTCCCACATAACCTTCGGGTCTCCCCCGAGACCTGAGGGTATCCATAAAAGATTTCCCCCGCCTCACCAAAAAAAAAAAAAAAAAAAAAAGTTTACCTCCTCGTTGTTCTGTGCGGCTCTGTCTTATGTGGCTTCTACTGGATTGTTTGAAGCTTCTAAGAACGGAAAATAGCAATACTAGTGCTTAAGTATTGCTTGCTATCAGTTTTGGTGAAATTTCACAATTTATTACTGTTTTTTTTGATTGACTATTTTATTATAGATTTCTACAAGGCAAAGTGAGGTTATGAGACCTTGTGCTTTATGAACTTGATGACTGTTCTTGCTAGTGATGGTTTTCTTGTATAATAATAATTTATTAGAGTTAATTGTATCTGATTTCGTGTCCTTTTGTTGCATATATGTGCATTAATTGACATATAATGCGATAATGTACTGCACAAGGATAACTCCAGCGCATGCGCACATACGCCCGAGTTTAGATTTGCTGTTATATTATTACTGGTGTTGAAACTATACTTGTTTGGACTAATCGATGATGAATGGTACTATATGGATAGTCTATCGTATGAGAAACTGGATTTAATCATCGTTGGAATACATGCGTAGTGTTTGACACATATATGTATAGTAAGATAAATGTTATGTTAATGTGCTGAATTGATACATAAGGTGAACTGAGAACTGTTATGAATTTGGATAGTATATTAGACGTTAAACTAAATTGATATTATATAATAAAAAGAATATATATATATATAAGGAATTAATAAGTGATAAGGATTGAAATCAATATGTTAGATTATATATTTATTCTGGAATAGGAACAAATGTCTTGAATCTTTTAATTTAGATTTGAAAGAACTAATTATTGACTCTGTCATGAAGTTTTTCACGCTAATGAAGTGTGGTTTTTGTGTTGGAATGATTATTGAATGTTTATCGGGTGAAATCATGTCACTTGTTAGTGATTGATAGTGGTATGGATTTCGGATATCATGTATACATGTGAAACAGAATTGAGACTACGATTCTATATGTATTGACCTTTTTGTCTCTGAGGAATAATGAACGTATGCGTGAGAATAGTATTGAGCCATATATGGCTGAGTCTAGCTTTAATGAACTCTGAAATTGGGAATAAATAATTAACTAGATTATAATGATTATATTAAATATAAGAAGTACGCGTTATTTAGACTTAGCATAGATGGTTTAGTTTAGTTTATACTTACTATATATGGAACTTTTGTATCAGAAATGAGATCATGATGCTGTTCTTTTTGTATTTGATGAATGAATGTGCTTGTGAGAAACTTTTGAGTTATTTGGCTAAGCACTACTTAATGTAATGAATTTAGAATATAGGAATAAATAATTAACTAAGATCGAATTAAGTATAAGTACGCGTTATTTAATCTTAGTATATATGGCTTAATTTGGCTTAAATTATACTTACTATACATGGAATCTTGAATTTGAAACTTGCAATTGGAGCAGATGATGTCAAATTTGTGTAATATTGATACTGATATGGATTGGATGAAGGCTGTGTGACTGTGGAGGTTGCAATTAGTGGTTTGTTGTTTTTCTGAATATTAATTCGTTTATTTGCCTGCTGATGATCAATTTGTACGAGTAATGGATACATTTAAAGTGGACATATTATTAATAAATGTTTTATTATGATATTGGGACTTTCTTCCTTCTTTGTCCGGTAGCTGGTGTGATCTAAAACATACAATTGAAAGATTAGTGAATGATTAAAGATAAATAAGTTGTTAATGTATGAATATACTATTATATTAATATTTTGCTGGCTACTGTAGTAAGTAAATGACTGCATCTGGAACAGAAAACAAGTAAGTTATCTTTAAGGAATTGTGAACAATAAATATATGAGAAGGACTATGTTAAGTGTATTAATTATGGCCCGCTGAGATATTGATATCAGGATATCGAACAGTATAAAATGATTAGTATTGTATTGTATTGAATTGACTTTATGGACTGGATTATTTCGTTCTATTAATGAAAAGTGCTACTACTTTATTATTGAATGTAATTACTGATACTGTTTTACGGAACTATTAAGATAAATAGAGTGAGACGACTTCCGACTGCAGTATTTAATTTAACTTTAAGGTCTCACCAAGAGAAGGATACTCTTGTGAATAAAACCAAGCATACAAAATGGACATGAACAAGGAAACGGATATAAACGTCTCGGCGTCGGATACCGAGAAACGGCACGTGGGGGGTATTGTCCCTGTCCCCCACGGGTCGACATCATGTGAAGGACTAGCCTCCTCGTCTGCGGCGAGCGTGGAGAACCGAGTGGCTATCGCTAGCATTGAAAGACTGGGAACAGCCATTACAGTTTTGCCTAGAAGAGACTCTGGTTCGGGCTCATTGAGGGGCGTCCGTATTCCTATGGCTGATGATGTTGAGATGTCTCGTGTTTCTTCGAGCCCTCAATCTGCTACCATGTTTTGTACGGCTGATTACTCGGATACTGAGGAAATTATTTCTTGTGATTCTTCCTATACATCTAAAACAAAAACAAGCATTAGTAAGGTACAACACACAGGTGGAAGGAAGAGAAAGAAGAAGGGCTCACCTCTGAGTGAAGAGAATGAGGAAGAGAGATATGGCTCTCGCTTCTCGTTGAATAGCAGAAAAAGGGTTGATGAAAAGATGGCCGGTCTGGAGCTGGGGCATGCTACGGACATTAACTATAAAATAAAAGAGATGGTTAATGAAATTGAAAACATTAGAAGAAAATCCACTAATATCAAAGGATCTTTTAGTGGACAGATGAAGGTTTATCTAGAGGTTATACGAAAAGCCAGTACCTTGCTGTCAATAAAGGCGACGTCAAAGGAGGATCCAGAGTACTGGAAATTGCGGTTCTACGAGATGGAGAAAACTTCATTAGAAAATAAATGCAAGGCTGACGCTTTAGATGTGGAACTCCAGGAAGTTAAAAGGAGGGAACGCATTAAGGCTGAATATGATATCGATGAAAGAGACTCACCTGTGGTGTTTGATACTGGTGAGAGGAATGTTGATCATTCGGTGTTAGTTTCTGCTCCTCCTGGTGGGCAGAGAGACTTGAGAAGTAAAAAAACTCTGGATGAAGATTTAATTAGTGCAAAGTTACCTGTTGAGTGCAGGGGTGGAGTGAGTGGTGATTTTCAGAGTAGAGTAGGTTTGGATCTCGCCATCATCAAAACCCTGGACAGATTGGGAGACGGGATGAACCAGATGATCCATGAAATGAGACAGATGAAGGGGGCGTTCTCTGGGTCGGTGACTCAGGGAGCTGCTGCCTTGAGTGACTGTCCTGCTTCGTCTTCGCTGCAAAAAAATAAAAAAATTAATAAGGTTAGTAATAGCGATAAGATTTCCTGGAAAGAAGGCACCTTTTTGAAACCTACGGACCGCCAGGTTTCTAACGAATCGAGTGGTAAAAAGAACTTTAAGAAAAAGAAAAAGAAAAGTAAGAATAAAGTCACAAAAACGTTAAATTCGGAACGTAGTGAGGACACTTTATCCTCGCAAGATAATGAAGTTAATAATGAAGTTGAAGTTAATAATAAAAGAAGAAAGTTATCTGAATCTACAAATAATGTTTGCGAGGAAGACTTTGAATCGATGGACTTTCTTAACAGGGTTATAGACTTTAGTAAAAATGAATTTACACAAAATTTAGCTAAACAGAATGAAAATGAGTGGACGACGGTACGTAGAAGTCGGAGAGGTGCGGATAGAGCTTCTGGAAGGGGTTCAACTCCTCTTAAAAATCTGTCTTCTGCGGATAATACGGGATCAAAACCTGCAAATATAAGAAAAAACAGTAAGAGTGGTAATCTTAATATAGAACTATTATCTAATCTTAAGAAAAAAATTCCTGATACGGCTGCCGTATCTATACTGCTCGATGAGTGTGAACTTACCTATTCGGATGTATTGAGTCGTGCAAGGAAAAGATTTCTCTGGCAGAAATGAACATTGTAGGTACGAGAATTAAGCGATCTGCGAATGGGGGTGTTCTCATCGAGATACCAGGAACAGATGCGGACCTGAAAGCAGATTTGTTATATAATAAGTTAAGGAAATTATTTTTTAGCGTAAGAGGCGTTAGTTTTCGTAGGCCTGTTAAAAAGTCACAGCTCAGGCTGTCAGGTATCGACGACTCGGTTACAGTAGGTAAGGTTAAGGAGGTTATCTCGAAAATAGGCTTGTGTGATGTAAGTAACATTACCTGTAGTGCTCTCCGACATTTACGCGGGGGCCTTGGAGTGATCTTCCTTCAATGTCCGATTGCGGCTGCCGTCAGAGTCCTGGAAAGAGGAAAAATATCAATTGGATGGTCAACCATTGGAGTAGAGGCCTTGAAAGCAAGGCCTATGCAATGCTTCCGGTGCCTTGCTGTTGGCCATACGATACAGAGATGCCCTAGTGCTGTGGTTAGAAGATTCGATTGCTACAAATGCGGCCAGGTTGACCACAAAGCGCAGGAATGTAAAAACAAAATTGTTTGTCCTGTGTGCCTGGAAAGGGGCCTTAATGCAGACCATATGGTTGGCAGTGCAATGTGTAAGCCGGTGCCTCCTAAAAAAATTGATAATACTTTAAGTTCTGTAAATAAAGATAATGTAGAAAACCTTACTCACCTTCCCTCTACTAGTAAAGATTTCGAGGTTCGGAGGCCTCGGAGCTCGTCGAAGTCTCCTGTGGAGACTATGGATTGCGGTGATATTGTTCCGTAATGATAATATTGCAGTGTAATGTCAATTTATCACGACAGGCACAAGATAATCTTGGTCATTTGCTGGAAGAAAGGAACGCTGGACTTGCTGTTGTGAGTGAGCCGAATTCTGTGCCCAAGGATGACAGGTGGGTGAAAGACGATTCTGTACCTCCTAAGGCCGCCATCTGGTGGCGTAGGAAAGTAAATAGATTTTCTCCGATGATGCGCTTAGAGACGGGTCGTGGTTTTTGTACTGTCAGATGGAATAATATGATCATTGTTAGTTGTTATATATCACCTAACACACCGTTGCCTAATTATAATGAATTTTTGGAAAATGTTCAGCTAGTTATCTTAAAGTACAATAATTCCCCACTGTTGCTGTTGGGGGATTTTAACGCACGTCATACTAAGTGGGATAAGAGAGGTATAAATAAAAGAGGTGTTCTTTTTAACGATTGGTTGGACAGTTTGAATTTGATTGTTATAAATGATACCTTTACAGCGACTTGTATTCGGTACTGTGGGGAATCGGTTGTCGACTTAGTCATTTGTAACCTTAAAGCGAAAAATTTAATCTCAAAATGCGTGGTCGAAAAGGATACGGTTACTCTCTCGGACCACAGACTAATCAGTATAGAGATAAAGTCTAAACAAGCTAGAGAAAGATCACTAGCCGTTGGCTACAGTTTTCCGAAGTGGAATTTTAAGAAATTGGATGTCGAATCTTTTAAAATGGCGGCGGTGGGAAAAGCCTGGGACTACAACGACTCGACCCTGGCTACATCAGAGCGCATTGTTGATTGGGTGAATAAAGCACTCCATGAAATTAGTAACTGTGTAAAATAGTGGACGTTTTCGCGACTCTGCCTATTGGTGGAATAGCGAGCTCGATACCCTTAGGAGAGCTGTGGTTGGGGCAAGGAGAATTCTTTCTAGATCTAGGAAAAAAGCAAAGGGGGATTCTTTAGTTAGATATAGGGAGTATCGTGCCACCCTATGGAATTATAGAATTGGAATAAAAAGAGCTAAAGCTAAGGCGTGGGACGAACTCCTTAGAGATCTGAATGATGATCCATGGGGTCTTCCCTATAAACTAGTGTTTAAAAAGCTTAGACCTGCTTCGCATACGATCAGTGAAACGCTTCCACCTGAAAATGTTGTTACAATTGTTCGCGCTTTGTTTCCGGATGGGGGGATACTGAAGAACAGGTTGAATTCCTTCCGACTTGGAATGATGATAACATCATTAGAGAGGTAGAGATAAAGGAAGCGATTAAAAAATTACAAGGGTGCAAAAAGGCACCGGGACCGGATGGAATTTTGGGGGGTATAATCTCGGGGTGCGTGGGGGATTTCATGGAGGTCTGGACTTCATGTTTAATACATGTCTTAAGGAGGGGAAATTCCCTAAAGCCTGGAAAAAGGCCAGATTGGTTTTGTTAAAGAAAAAGGATGGTCCAAGGTTAGATCCTGGTATTTATAGACCGATTTGTCTCCTTGATAAATCATCTAAACTCTTTGAGAGAATTATAGTTAATAGAATACACGAACATTTATTATCAACTGGTTTTATGTCTGACAATCAATTTGGCTTTCGCAAGGGGAAGTCTACTATCGACGCGATCCTTAGACTACGCGAAATAGTTTCCGAGGAAATTAATGTGGGAAGGCTGGTTATTGGAGTCAGCTTCGACATAAAGAACGCCTTCAATTCTATGCCTTGGCGGGTTATCCGGGACGCCATGACCTCCATGGAATTTCCTGGGTATTTGAGAGGGATTGTATCTAGTTACTTGTCGGATAGAAGTCTAACATACATAGACGCGAATGGTGGTATTTGCGTTTCGAAGATGACTTGTAGTGTTCCACAGGGTTCGGTCCTTGGACCGACTCTGTGGAATATTGGTTACAACGCAGTGCTGAATTTATCTCTACCAGAGAATTGTTGGGTGATTTGTTATGCGGATAATACTATTTTGTTAGTTTCCGGAGAGGATTACGACGTGGTCCGAGAGAAGACTATGTTTTCTGCCAATATGGTTGTTAGGGCGATAGAGAGTATGAATTTAGAAATCTCTCCTTATAAAACTGAGGCTATGGTCTTTCCTGCTACGGTGCTCAGGGATGGCTCTTCCAAGAGTATTTTTATAAAAGATAGGGACATAAGGATTTCGGGTAACATGAAATACTTGGGGATATTTCTGGACGGTGACTGGAATTTTTCCTTTCACTTTAGTCAGGTGTCTGTTAAGGTGGGAAAGGTTATTGGTACTCTTGGAAGGATCATGCCTAACTGTGGTGGACCGAGCGAGAGGAAAAGAAAGCTATACCTTAATATGGTACTTTCGGTTATTTTATACGGGTCACCTGTTTGGTATGAGTCTTTTAACCGGAATAAAAAGGCTAGGATTTTAATGGAAAAGGTCATGAGAAAGATAACACAGAGGGTGTGTTGCACCTATCGCACGGTCTCCTACACGGCCTCGATGGTCTTGTCTGGTACTTTACCAATCGAATATTCCGCGAGGAGATTAGCGATTATGTTTGAGCGAATTAGAATAGCCAAATCACAAGGGGAAGAATTTTCCCCTAGATCTAGGGAGATTTTTAGTACAAGGGCTAAACTCGATGCACTTCAGGCCTGGAATGGGGAACTGGAGGCAATGGGTGAGAACCAGCCGGGTTTTAGGGTTCGAGAAGCGGTTTGTCCAATTTTAACGGAGTGGGCAAGTAGGAAATCTGGTTGGATTACGTTCCATATGGCACAAATCCTCACTGATCATGGTTGTTTTAACAGCTTTTTGTATAAAATAAATAGAGCACCTTCACCTTTGTGCTCCCACTGTCTTCAGGGGGTTGATACCGCCCAGCATACGCTGGAATTCTGTCAGGCCTGGAATGTAGAAAGGGAGGTGTTAATAACCTCAATTGGCGATAGGTTGGACTTACCCTCTGTGGTTGCTTCCATCTTGGAAGATGATGGGAACTGGAGAGCGTTCTCCAGATTTTGCGGAGTAGTCATGCGCAGGAAGGAAGTAGCTGAGCGAGAAAGACAGGCCCTGGATCGGAGTCAGGCGGTTGGCTTTCTTGATCCCGAGGCTTCTGATTAAAATAATGGAAATCTTTTGTTAATAGTTAGGACTTTAGAATATA